AAGTCTGTATAATCCATCTGGATCGTTCGTATTTGCTGATTTTTGACAATTAATAAAATTCATTTGAACAATATCTTATACTAATCGTTCTTCTGTTAAGTCTTCAGTTTCATTTTTGGTTTACAAACAAGTCAAAGAAAATTATTAATGTGTGTTTTACCGATGCAGTATATTTATACTTGCAGTGATTACACAACATAACTAGATACGTACGAACGTTGTGAGAGGCTAAATCGAACCCTACGATCGAAATATGGTCTCATGGAGATCTATCTACACAAAACTAATCCAAATCAACACACAATACCACCGAATTATGCCAAACTCTATCTGGACCCAATGGTGGAAGGCACGAAAGAGGGCGTGGAAAGACTTGGTCCGAGTTATTAGGGCCAAATGGAGCTCTAGACTACGTCACGAGGCTCTAATTCGTGATCACGGGTGGTATTATGGTTAATTATCGGGATTAGGGAATGAATGTGTATAATTATATGCGCAGCGATAACTTAGGGAGTGTTAAAAGCTCATTACTGAGATGATTTTATTGAAGGTGAGCTCAAGGCTCTTAAATACTAAAGTTTTACAGACTAAAAATCGACGAAATGGATTCCATCGATTCCATGGAGTCGATTTCGACCATAAATGGAAATCCAGACAGGATAACCGAAAATAGCAAAGATACACTAATAATAGAACATACAAAAATAGAAAAAAGGCTACGTAATAATAAAATAATAATAATAAAAATGCTGGCACAGCCCAAATTCGGGTATTTACCCTAGGTGCACACAAAAAATGCGCGGCAGATCCTCGATTTTGATTGGTTAACGGCCGAAGATCTTCGTAATTTTGGTCCGCATTACAAAATTGTTTACTAAATTCCGGCCGGAATTAACTTTTTAATTTTTTCATTACAAAAATAGAAAATTTTAAAAAATAGGCACGCATTATGGTAAAATTGACCCAGGAACAATTTTCACTTAATGGGCGGCTGCGATTTCATTAGTAAAATTATGAGTAATTCCGGCTTAATTTTTTTTAGCCAATCAAAATCGAGGATCTGCCGCGCATTTTTTGTGCGGCACCTAGGTTCAATAATTCGGGTTATGCTACGTCAAATTTGACCCTTACAACTCTCCCTAGCTTATTTTCGAGTCCCACGAGAACACATTAACTCCTTCTTGCTATGCTAGGCCACCGACTACCTAGGCTGAATTAAATTTACCGTCAGATTTCTTCTTTATATAGGTAAGTCTTCTTATCTTGATTGGCACTTCATGTTCATCTTTTTCAATACCAATTCCATTTTGATAACAATACCCAGCTCGTGGATACGCTTTGACATTCCTCTGAGGCTTCTCTTGAGTCTTTTCAGTAGGTAATGCGGACGTTTCCTTTCTTCTTACCGTCCCTTTCTTCTATTTCGAATCTTCCTTCTAATCATTTTCTACGATTATATCTTCTGGGTATTTCATCTTCCACATATTTGCTTTGTGTTATGTGCCCCACACCCGCACGATAACTGTCATGACCTACCATATCTAATTTCATCATGTCCATTATGTTATTTAACTTCTTTATTTCTTTCGATTGACATCGTAATTCGTAGTTAACTTCTCTTTAACTTTGATTCGGTAGCTTCTTTCTACTTCAGCAAGTTTTAGTCCAATAGATTCGAGATTTCACTTCGCTTATTAGCTTCCAAAATTTGATTTTTGATTCCATTATCATCTTTCGGATCTATTTCACCTGATAATTTCTTTAATCCTTGGATAGATTCTTGTTCTTTTTTGTTTGAATTATAGATTACTTTAAGTGCATCATTGAACCACGCACCATTTGTTTTATAGTACCAACGTGCAAAATTATACTGTTGCAAATCCTCCTTTTTGATTTTTTTTAACATTAGATAATCTATTAAAAGGAATCCAATTAATCGTATCTTTTTCGTGCAATCATCAATATCTTCTATTTCCAATTGTCCACCTTGTTGTTATGTCAGGGTCACATGAAAGGCACCATGCTGGTCGTGTGTTATCTTCTTTACAATGTGCACATTTTCCATATTCAGAATTTCGGCGAAGACTATTATGAAAAGTGTCCTTTTTGCGGCATTTATAAATTTTATTTTCATCCTTCTTTGTACCAATTCCATGACAGTAATAAATGGTAGTTTTCTGAATTCCCATAGAGCCTCTAGCCTCAGCAGACTTCAGAGAAGATTCAAATACCTTATGTTTATCTATTTCGATGCCAATTCGTAAATTATAACAATAACCAACTTGATATACACCGTTCGAAGTATTCATGTCGGCCGATTTTTGATGATGCGTGAATGCTATGTTCTTGTCCTTTCCAACTTCAATCCCATATTCGTAGCAATATCCATGCATAAATGCTATATTTTCATCTTCAATTCTTTTTGCGCAATAGTATCCAGCTTGATATGTTCCTCTGTTGTTTCCCGTATCAGCAGATTTTTGATAAAAAGAGAATGCCATAGGTCCATCTCTTTCAACTCCAATTCCGTCAGTATAGTTCATCTCAGCTAGTCTCTGATTATATATTAATACCTTACGTTCATTTTCTAACCTGCTTCTAGATACTTGATTATTCGTATTGGCTCTAGATATGATCGATAACTTGTCTATTCCTAAGTTTATCTCATCGTTGAATATTAGTATACTTAGAAGTAGCAATAGAATGTTGTAGAACTTAAATAAAATGAATCTGGATGTGATTATATTGTTAGTCTCTTTTCCTTTCAGTTTGCTTCTATTACTATATTTTCGGCTAGGTTTAGCCTGAGGTTTGTCTACCTTCATCGCTTCTCATCCAACTCTAATTTCAAGTGGCTTGTTTTCGCTTCGACTTATTCGAACTTCTCTAGCTTCATTAGAGTATACAATATTTTTGCTAGCCTTGTTATTATTAACAAGTTCTTGACTGAAATTGTTTTCCTCATTTTCTTTCTCTTTTAGCTCGAATTCATCGATTTCAAAGTCGTTAGTGCCCAGCCAATCTTCGGAGATTTTGTCGTTACAAGAATACCAAATCTCATCGTCGTTGGCATTTTCAGGTTCATCGAGATAACCATTATTTAGGCCTGGAGTTATCTTTTCGTAGTTAGGTTCTTCGTCCAATTCGGTTTCTTCCTTCGTTTTAACGGTTATACTATCTCGAGAGACAGAATCGACTTGCAATGTTATCTCAATCTTCTGCGGCTCTTGATAATCAGTGGATGTCTTTTGCTGGTCGCATTGAACTTTATTCTTATCAACATAGTTCATTTTAGCCGATTTTTGGTAATTCATCAAAATTTTCTCTTCGGCCTTTACTTCATCTTCATCAGCTTGGTCCACTTCAGCAGCTCTATGATAATGAATGGGTGTCTTATGTTCGTTCTTTTCGACTTTAACCTTGTCCTGAGTCCAATATTTATGACCCAAAGTTTTATTGAAGTGATTTTCGAAACTAAGTATCTTAGTTTCATCCTTTTTGACTCCCGTAGACTTTTGATAATAAACGAGGGTCTTAGGTTCATCCTTTTCGACTTCAGCCTGAACTACATAGACGTCAAGGGCCTTAGTAACTGGATTCTTCTTACATTTGAACTTTGTTGAGGAAACTTTCGAAGTGAGGATTGCTGAGGATGGGCATTTTTTCTTTTCCATAGTTGGAGTCGCTTGGATATAAGACGGCAAGTATATAACTGGTACTTCTTCGAGACTTTTAATACTTAATATGTCTTCTATCACTTCCAATATAAGCTCTAGGGCTTCGGGAATCTGCTCAGCATCAAGAACGCCACTGAAGTTTTCGTTTAACATATCTTGGACCACTCCGAGTTGTTCCATAGTAAGTGTTCGAAGGAGCATTATACACTCTTCATCTAATCTTCTCACTTCAGGACATATAGCCACTGCATGCCCTTTTAGGTTACAATAGGAGAACCACGATCTTTTTTGAGAGGTTCTTTGGTTATCCCTCTTGGAAAATTGGCATGATTTGGCTTGACAATTGGTGAATGTTCAATTTTGGTGATTATAATAAGTATCCATTATTGTATATTGCTGCTTCACGACTTCGGGTAATAGGTTTGGGTAGGTTTAGAAGTAAGTATCTCACAGTCACCACCAAATTGTGAGAGGCTAAATCGAACCCTACAATCGAAATATGGTCTCACGGAGATCTATCTACACCAAACTAATCCAAATCAACACACAATACCACTGAATTATGCCAAACTCTATCTGGACCTAATGGTGGAAAGCACGAAAGAGGGCGTGGAAAGACTTGTTCTGAGTTATTAGGGCCAAATAGAGCTCTAGACTACGTCACGAGGCTCTAATTCGGGATCACAGATGGTATTATGGTTAATTATCGGGATTAGGGAATGAATGTGTATAATTATATGTGCAACGATAACTTAGGGAGATGATTTTATTGAAGGTGAGCTCAAGGCTCTTAAATACTAAAGTTTTACAGACTAAAAATTGACGAAATGGATTCCATCGATTCCATGGAGTCAATTTCGATCATAAATGGAAATCCAGATAGGATAACTGAAAATAGCAAAGATACACTAATAATAGAACATACAAAAATAGAAAAAGGCTACGTAATAATAAAATAATAATAATAAAAATGCTGGCACAGCCCAAATTCGGGTTATGCTGCGTCAAATTTGACCCTTACAACGTACGTATGTATAGCACGGTATGTTCCTCAAAGATGACATAATTTCTGCATAATCTACGTAGTACAGGTTGTGTAATACGTAATAACATGACAATGCTAATTATTGATAAGGGAATTGCCATTTATTTGCGCCGGTAATACAAACCTCTAAAAAGGGGGACGTCTAAAGCGGAGTAGATTCTTACGTATAATATATATTTTATCAAATTAACTTTAGGGTTATGGTCATCTTGGATTATGGTTAGAGTGTGCTTTAAATAATTACATATAAGCAAAATTACCTTCCCGACATTTTTCTTAGCTTACCCAAGGTAGGTTTAGACTGCTATTTTTTGTATTTTCAAGTTTTTCGCTTTTTTTTTCTTGTTTTGCTTTGTTGGCGATCATCAAAATTCTATAATTTGATTGGTCGAATATCACGTGATTCTGCACCGCTTTAGACGACCCGTGAGCAAAGCGAAGAAAAACATTGAAAAAGAGAAAATATTCAAAAACTAGTGTTTAAATCGACCTTTTGGACTAATAAAAAATAACGGAAATGAAATTTTACATATAAAAACTCAAAATTATCACTAAAGCTCACAACCCTAACACTAACCCTAATGTCCTAATCCTAGTTTATTTACAAATGCGATTTCCTTTTTTGGTTTGTATTACCGGCGCAAAGAAGTAAATTTTTTGCAGCCCGCCAGGGTATAGACACTTTGCAGTAACATGACCATCACGTGGTGTAGCGTATTTTTTGCTTTAGTTTAGGGTTTGGCTTCAGATTTGTGTTAGGGTTTGTGTTAGGGTTATTAGCTTTATATATTATATGTAAATTGCATTTTTGACACTTTTTGTTAGTGCTTAAAGACCGTATTTTTGCTTTTTTCTCTTTTTTTCTTCTTGCACATGTGTTTTGTTTTGATGTTGGGCTGATCCAAGATGATCGAAATTTATGAATTCTGATTAGGGTCCGGAATCTGGCGGGTCAGGCCGGGCTTTCATAAGCTCAGTAAAAAATATTTTTAAACCTGACCTGGCCCGAACCCAATTAGAAGATTCAGTATACGGCTATGTCAGGTTTTGAGTAGGCCCGGCCTGGCCAGTAGCCAGCATATACCCAAAACTTAAAATTTGTACCTATGCAATTTGTGTGCCATTGTACATTGTGTGAGGCTATATCGATCTGGAATCTCAAAATATGGACCTCACGGATATTAACTAATACTATATTAATCTAAATCAACACTGCAACAGCTAACTACCACTAAGGGGGACTTGAAGAACAAGGAATCCAGTGATTATCACATCACATGAAATAATACAATTACGTTATTTGTTTACTAGCACTAAACAAATTAGCCTAACCTAACTATCATCTAACCCTAGCACTAACCCTAACGTAGGCTGAACACTTAATCATGTGATGTGATTATCATGAATATATCACTGGGCTCCTTGATCCTCAATCTTACCACATATAACAAATATTACTTTTCTTTTTCACAAGGAAAAAAAACGAAAAATATTATTGATTATTAGGCCATGCAAAGTTGATTTTTCGTTTTGCATTACATGGATTTCAAAATTAGGGACGGACGGATAGATTTTTTTTTTTTAATTCAATTTACTGCAAATAGAATAATGATCACATTTAAAGTTATATTTGATAACAAGGAATCAAAAAATTGGGCTAGCAGTAATGATGCCTGACGAAACTAATTTGCCCTGACGAAATAGTTTCGTTAATGGTTTCGTCTGACGAAACCTGACGATACGACGTAATTAACGACGATTGACGTAACTGTTGACGATTGACGTAAC